AGGAGTTCAATTCCCAGCAACCACATGGTGGCTCACAACCATCTGTAATGAGATCTGGTGCCCTCTTCTGGCACGCAGGCATACATGCTGGCAGAACACTGTGTATATAATAAATAAATCTTAAAAAAAACAAAAAAACTGAAACACCTAATTTGAAAACAACCCATATAGCAGGATGAACTCAAGCTAGATCTTAGTACTAGTATGACTGTGTCATAATGCTTCATACTCACCACTAACCACTTTCTGAACTGGGCTTCCCTAACACTAAAAAGTACAAGGCCTTCTTTCTATCTGTACCTCCACTATTGCAACACTGTAACAAGTCTGATATTTATTAAGTATCACATCATTCTAGTAAAATATAGTGATCATTCTAGTAAAATATAGGGAGTGCTTATCTTGTGTCAAGCAATTTTTTAAGACTCAGAGGATACAGTCATGGGATCAAAAGGCCCTCAGGGAATTCAATGTGGTCCACGAGAGGGGAAAAAACAAAACCATTCCATTTCAGACAGTAAAAACATTATGAAATTAAAGCAAGCAGGGTAAGAGGTTAAGCTCCTGCGGACAGACGTCAGAGGACTCACTGAGGTAAATGCCCTTAACACACCAAGTTTCCAAACTGTTTCAAGAATGTCTGTTGTAGCCAGGCGGTGGTGGCGCACGCCTTTAATCCCAGCACCCAAGAGGCAGAGGGCAGGCGGATCTCTGTGAGTTCGAGGAACCCAAAAGCTATGGAGAAACCCTGTCTCGAAAAATAAAAAAAAAAAAAGAATGCCTGTTGTACTGTAAAGTTCATGTGATATATGTCTAGAAGATGCATCTACAACTAACAAACATTCCACAATACATAAAAGTGACTTTTATATAGGTAAGTATAAAAAATAAAGTTAGAATGAAACAAAACTGAAAACAAAACAAATTTCTATTTCCTCTGGGAGAATAATTTGTGTCTGTTAATACCTTGTAAGCAATGCACCACTCTACATTTGCTGAGATACACACGAAGACCCTCTTCTTTCAGAGCTTGGCCTCATACCTTTCAAATACTACTTAGTTTCTCACTGCCTTAAATTTGGTGGCTTTCCAGTTAGTCAGACTGGAATCATGCATTGTATTGCAGCAGTAAATGATTTTAACCACTCACTTTTTTTTGTTTTGTTTTTCGAGACAGGATTTCTCTGTAGCTTTGGAGCCTGTCCTGGAACTCCCTTTGTAGACCAGGCTAGCCTCGAACTCACAGAGATCCGCCTGCCTCTGCCTCCCTAGTGCTGGGATTAAAGATGTGTGCCGCCACCGCCCGGCTGGAACTAGCTCTTGTAGACCAGGCTGGCCTCAAACTCAGAGATCCGGCTCTTGTAGACCAGGCTGGTCTCGAACTCACAGAGATCCTCCTGCCTCTGCTCCTGAGTGCTGGAATTAAAGACCTGCGCCACCACTGCCCGGTTCTGTGTTCTTTCTTAAACACTATACATTAGGATGAAGAATGAATACTTATCTTTAATCTCTTAGGTTTTTGAAAGCAAACACTCATTATTCAGGCTTGATGTGCAAGTCTAAAGAGGACCTACAACTTGAATGAGGAGGATAAACAAAAATGGTAGAAAGTCTAACTTGGTGCCTGGGCACCAAAATGTGATGGTTTAATAAGAAATCTTAACAGAATTGTAAAATAACAGCAGTTGGCTATATTCATATTCTAGTTCTGTCACCACTAACATGAATCTCATCAAAGATGTCACTTAGCTCTCTGGGCTCTAGATTTCCACACCTTAAAACTTAGAAGTAAAAAACCGAGTTAATGGGGAAAAAGTGTAGCACGTGAGAGGCTCCTATGCACTGAAGATTGGCTACACAGTGAGTTCTAGACCAAAGTGGTCTAAAGAGTGAGACTGTCCCACATTCAACAAATAAAAACCAAAGTAACCATTTATTGAAGCACTATGGAGCACCATGCTCAACACACATCTATAGACATGTTTACCATTTCTCCAGAAATTAATCTCTCCGTTGGCAAATTGATACTGTCAGCTCTCTTAACTCAGATTCACATTAAGGTGTCACATAACTCACAAGAAACCAAGATTACCGAGTCTTCTAGTGGGGAAAGTTTCATAAGAGAGCCACAATGACAGCTGGTTAGTATCTACTCTACCTAAAAATTTGTTTTGAGAACATCTTACACACTGTATAGCCAATTAGTTCTTTAATGGCTTAATGAGAAATTAGAATAGTAAACAACTATTTTGTTACCTTCTTTAATGTAATGAAAAGCTGTACAAAACCCAAGAATTTCATTACATTCCAAACCTAGATTTATGTGAGTGCTGGGTGAATTATTTTAGAAGCACTCTGTTCCTGTCAGTTTTAATGAAACTAAGGACAACCGGTAACTATGAAATAGACAGAAGATAAATAAGTGTATTCTTCCACAAATCAAACTAAACAACCTAAAATGACAGTGAATGGAATTGTATTACAATGGAAGCCAAAATTTAGCACCCCTCTGCTCAGACAGCCCCATTAGTGCAGTGTGAAAATGTAATCCTCAAAATAGTCTACAAGGCCTTGGTCACTGTTCTCCTCTTCTTTGCTGCCTATCTCCCATAACTCCCTCATTTGCTAAATACTACAAACACACTGTTTCTCTAACGTGCCTGCCCAGCTTTGCCCTCAAGGCCTTTGTGATTGCTGCTCCCTGGCTCAGAACATTGCTTTCTCCAGATAGGTCCAGGGATGGACTCACCATCTTCTACACTGCTGAGACAGCATTTGTATAACTACCCACTCTCCTGCAAACTGCAGTTTCTCTGAAGTTTCCTCTTCTTCGGCAGGTACAGGTTATTATTCTGTACACCGTAAAATAATCTTGTCTCTTATTCTGCACTGGAAAGTTTCTGCTGAAATGTTTCAGTGAGTAAAGACGCTTGACACCAAGCCTGACCTGTGGTCCATCCTCAGGACACACGTGGTGAAAAAGGACAAACCCGACTCCCTCCAGGTTGCTTTCTGACCTCTACGGGAGGGTATGGTACACACACATAAATGAGTATGTGTAAGCCAGGTGGTGGTGGCAGCACATGCCTTTGAGCCCAGCACTTGAGAGGCAGAGGCAGGAGGATCTCTGTGAGTTCGAGTCCAGCCTGGTCTACAGAGCGAGTTCTAGGGCAGACTCCAAAACTACACAGAAAACAAAAACAAACAAACAAATAAGAGCAAAAAATGTACTGAAAGAAAGGCTCATGAGGGCAGGGGTCGCAGACTTATTAATACTTAAGCAATGCAAGACAGACCAAGCACAGAGGCAATGATTAAACTTATTTGGAATGCATCATATTAGGCCGTGTAATTCTCCTTCTAGGTAAAGGAAAATAGTATTTTCATCGCTGGAAGAATTAACTTCTGTATCAAACATTTACTGCTCACTTCCTACCTGCCAGAACAGACTGGGCTCTACAAAGTTTAAGCAAATGAAAACACAGCCCCCTCCAGCCAGGTGTAATAGATAATAGAGAAATACCATTTGCAAAAAAATAAAAATACGCAGGGAAGCCACAGGAAACTGAACGACAGCCTAAAGAAGTAGGGGCAAAGAGAGAAACGCTGAAATGACAGAAAAGCCTACATATGCCCCCACACTCTGACTAGTATAATTTTTCTTTACGTTTCTGGTACGTGCATACATTTACTCACATCAGGTAGGCTCAAGTAGGCCGCACAAAGTTTCTAACTATGTATCCTGATGCTAATCATGACCTACCCAAGGTTTCTCCAAGATCTCCTATGTGAAGCCGTCTATGTCAACTCCCGCTACCGAGAACCCCGTTTGCGGGCCTGCAAGCTCAACCAGCTACCTAACAGGGATCAACATCCTCCCACTGGCTCTCACAGCCCAGCACCCTAAAAATCCCTTCCTGTAGCCCGGCAGGCGCCGCCTCCGGAAAGCCGCCAAGTGGGCCCGGTCCAGACGTGCGAGGAGCGGAGCCGTGCGAAGGCGAACGCAGCTCGGCAGGGCCTCCCTCGGGGATCCAGAGGCGCATCCGGCTTTCCCCGGACGCCCGAAGCCGCCCGGGTCCCGAGGCTCCGCAGATTCTTTGTTAAGCGAGGGCCGTGGTTCCTCCGCCCTCGCCAGGCCCCAGTTACCTCCCGTGCCCCCGGGGCGAGCGGCTCTGCGTCTGCAAAGCCCTTTACACAAACCTGCGGCTGCAGCCACGGATGCAGCTGCGACTACAGTCGGCGCCAAAGAACCACACGGCCCCCAGTACGCGCGGAACGGAGCCGCGTCCAGCAGAGCGCCTCCTCCGCCCCCTTCGCCGCCGCCGCCTCACGGCCCGTTGCTGACTAAAGGGGGAGGGGGACGCGCGTCTGACATGCGCGCTGAGGAGGGCGCGAGCCGAAGGGTGTGGCTTGGGGCTACGGCTCCCGAAAGGCGCCAATTACGCGCGCCCTTCAGATCCCGGAACACATCGTAGGCGCGTCACACTCACTGGACAGGAACCTGGTTCTGGATGGAGAATGTTTATGGCTCAGGTTAGAGCATGATGGCGCATGCCTCTCATCCCAGCAGCGATCTCTGTGAGTTCGAGCTACGCAGAGAAACCCTGTCTCTTACAAAAAAGAGAGCAGGTCTGGGATGAAGAGAGCAGAGCGGAAGTAACAAGGAACTACTCAAAAACCCAAGATAAAAGGATGTTGACCGAAAACCTCATTTACATAAGGCTGTCGACCCTCCCTTAGTTCCTGTCCCTTGCAAAGAACGATTTGGGCAACAGTTCCCTCCATGCCTATGACCACATGGTCCCATAGAGTATGGCCACCTTTAGCTTCCGGAGCACCGGGACCAAAGTGACGTCAACCTGACAGGACTGGAGGAACCCAGCCTCCGCTAGAGCCCTTCTAGGCCCAGGAGCGGCGAGGGTTACGTAATTTTCCCGGCAGCCCAACCTCGCCTTGAGCCCCCGCCCCCACTCCGTGCGCAGGCGCAGACCAGCCGTACGCATTCTACGTAACGGACGGCTGAAGCTACGTGAAGTGTACGGTGCAGTGACTGAGCTACCTGTTCTGGGCTGTGACCCAGTGACAATCGCGGCCCGCAGAAATCTTTCCGACCCGAAGGCGGAGGCCAGACGCAAGCAGGCTGGGTGGAGGTGGTAGCCTCAGAAGCCCCTGGCCGGGTTGCAGCCTCGGGTGCAGGTAGGTAGCGAACCGTGACATGCCAGTCTCTGTGGCCGAGCCAGGCCGAGCGGTGACTAAGTTTTGCGTTGCATGGCCTCATTGCCTGGGACTGTTTCTCACCTAACCAACCTTTTTATGTCCGGCTGGTGGTGACATGCATCAATCCCCGCAATTTACTTCCCTCGAACTAAAAAGATCAAGCCTCTGTACGTTCTTTTCTGGTCCGTTGTTGTTATTGGAGTTTAGGAGGGTTTGGGGGGTCATATTAGTGGCTTTGAGCAAATTCCCAACCAGCAAGACAAAATCTGAGAAGATTTCTGGTGTGCAGCCGGGAAGAATGGAGCGTAGACACTAGTGTTCTCCATGAGTGGTGGAGGCAGGACCAGGCACGAGAGGTTTGACAGAAGCAACCGCTTCTAGAGTCCGACCTTAGCTGAAGGTTTCTAGCAAACAGCTTGTTTGTCGCCAACACTCTGGAAGGAGACGGGAATGTCTTACCGCGTTTCTAGAAGTTCCATTGTTCTGACTATTGCCATGAGGACCCCAGAGGACTAGCAGTGATTGCTTCACTTACTCGTTTTTCAGTCTGGAGTCAAGTGGTTGCGTGAGAGACTTACTGAGTGAGCTGGCTGAAGACAGTCAAGGCAGGCCTGTTAATGCTTGTGCCTGGCCTGCATTCTTGTGGTTTCCGTTTCAGAAGTCCTCGAGGCTGGGTGACCTGGCAGAGAGTTGTGCATTTGAGAAATGGGCTGACAGGTGCAGCATGTGCCTTGGATCATTTTAACTTAAATAACCTTGAGAGGGCCTGGTTGCATGAATTGCATTAGAAATGCTTGTGTGTTGCGAACTTTCCGAGTATAGACTCAGCTTGAAATGGTCAGACGTTTCCGGTGTCTGTTAATCAAGCTGACAATGGTAAATAGTTACTTCTACTTGAAAAGGGGAACACTAAAGCAGAAGCCTTTTGTTTTTTGAAACACTGTTTCACTCCTGCAGGCTGGCTTAAAACTTACTATGTAGGGTAGGCCTTTAGCTGAGGATGCCTGATGCTGGGTCTATAAGATTAAATCACTACACCCTGCTGCTTTTTTTTTTTTAAACATAGGATCTCACTACTTAGTCTTAGTTGGCCTTGAATTTGGGCATCTGCCTGCCCCTTACTCCTGTGTACTGGGATTAAAGGCATGCACCCCACCCTACCACCCCTTAGAGTTCTTGAGACAGGGTCTCATGAACCCTGGAGACACCAGGAGCTCACTGAATAGAAGAGGATACCCTTGAACTTTGAGCCTCCTGCCTCAGACTCCCCACTGCTTTGACTATAGGAGTGTGCCTCCACACCCAGCTTTATATGGTGCTCGAGTCCCGGGTACTCCACCAACTGAGTTACAAACCTAGGCTCCCTGGTAGTGTTTTAAAAATGACATCCATTCATTCATTTGGGTCAGAAAAGGAGGGAGGTATACCTCTGTGTGAACGTAGAGGTCAGAAGACAAATTATGTGGAGGCAGACCAAGGGGAAAACTCAGTCTTTCGGCTTGTTGGCAAGTGCCTTTATCCACTGAGCCACCTCATCAGCCCAGCCCTTTCATAACGGTACACCTATAGTTTAAACATCAGAAGTAACGCTCTCACAATACCCATCAGTGCCCTGTCAGTAATATGCTCACACATAGCCATCCTTTGGGCTGAGGACTGCCGTTTAGATGAGGGGGCAGAATTGAAAACGTAAATGATTTTATTGGTTGATTTTTTTTTATTGTCTTCTGAGATTTAATGCAAAATTACTACTCTTTGGATGAGTCCTTTCTGTCACATTGCATTGTTGCGTTGATTGATGTCTCCATTGCGTCCTTTTTCTGTATTTAAGTATTCACACTTATGATGATGATAATAGTGGTGTTTGTCCTGGAGAGCATGTCTGCAGGGCAAACACGCACAATGGATCTGTAGGTAAATTCAGTGCTGATGACAAAACCAGCAACCTTATGTGTGTCAGAATGACTGCAAGCACTGTGCAGCCAAGGTTCATCTCAGTCCTGGTGTGTTTTATTCGTGGATTATTTCATAACCATTTATGTATAATGGTTGTATCTTATTGCTCCTCTGAACTCTTTAGTTCTTTTAGAAAGGACTTAATAGTCTCTCAAAAATACTTTTTTTTTGAGGGGAAAAAAGCTTATGGACTATATAACATAAATAGAGGATTTTAGAAAACAAATCTAAAGAGATTAATAACTTGTACGTGTTTTTGCAGATAGCTGTTGACAGAATCTTGATAGACCACATGCCTCTTGACCTCACCTCATTGGTTTTTGTTTTTGTTTGTTTGTTTGTTTGTTTTAAACATAGTACTCTGATTCCAAGAATATTGAGGAAGATAAACTCAGGAGATATTTGTGAACTTAGTGTTTGGTTGGTCTTCTGGGTTTTATTATTATTTATTTATATTGGGGGCATTCTTTAAAACAGGGTTTCTCTATATAACAGTCCAGGCTGTCCTCAATTTGTAGACCAGGCTGGCCTTGAACTCACAGAGATCCGCGTGCCTCTGCCTCTAGAGTACTAGAATTAAAGGCATATACCACCACCGCTCTGTGATTATTTTGTTATTAATTAAGGGTCTGGCCTTGACCTCAGTATGTAGCCACGGCTGGCCATGGACTTCTGGTCCTCTTTCTACCTCCCAAGTACTGGGATTACAAGCATGTGTCACCACTCCTAGCTGGTTTGTTTACTAACGATTTACGAACTGTGTTGATCCTGTATATGGAATGATAGTTCACTTAGCACACACTCTCTGTCTCTACAGCTTATTTTTAAGACGCAATGAAAGCCTTCTATGCTTTCTGTGCTGTCCTTTTGGTGTTTGGGAGTGTCTCTGAAGCCAAGTTTGGTGAATTCGAGGATGAGGAAGACATAGTAGAGTATGATGATAATGATTTCGCTGAGTTTGAGGATGTCATGGAAGACTCTGTTACGGAATCTCCTCAGCGAGTGATAACCACTGAAGATGATGAAGATGAGACCACTGTAGAGTTGGAAGGGCAGGATGAAAACCAAGGAGATTTTGAAGATGCAGATACCCAGGTAGGGTTTTTGTTTACGATTTATTTATTTGGTTTATTTTGAGACAGGGTTTCTCTGTATAGCCCTGACTGTCCTGAAACTCAATTTGTAGACCAGTCTGGCCTCTAAACTCACAAAGATCCATCTGTCTCTGGCTCTCAAGTGCCGGGATTAAAAGGCATGCACCACCACTGCTGGGAGGATTAATTTCCTTTTACTGTTCTGTCTGAGTTTTCCTGCATATAAGTGTACTGTATGGCATGCCTGGTTCTCTTGACGGCCTGAAGAAGGAAGTGGATCCTTTGGGCCTAAGCAGCCACGTGTGTTCTGAAAACCAAATCCAGGTCCTCTGCAAGGGCAACAAGTGCTCTCAACTTATGAGCCATTTCTTTAACTCCACCAAATAGGGTACTTATTGATTTATTGGAAAATTCAGAGGGTGGGAAATTTTTTTAGTGCTTTTCTCAAACAAAAACCCAGATGTAGGGAAACTTTTACTCTCGGGAATCTTCATTTCTGTTCGGTTAGAGCTCTGCTAGTTTATTCTCTCTCTGATAGCCCTGAATGTCCTGATAGACCTGGCTTTGTAGACCAGGCTGGCCTCAAACCCACAGAGGCCTGTGTGCGCCACCACTACCCAGCTAAGCTCTTCTAAAGGTTTTGTGGTGTGTTCTTCCTGCTTTGATAAAGCATTCTGTTTTCTGTAGTTACTGCGGTAGATAAGAGCTGAACTGAGGATAGATAAGGTATGAATGAAAATTTAGAACTTGGGGTGTAAGGTGTAAAGTAAGCGGCATCATCCTTTTGGTGTTTTGGAGTCTCTCTCTCTCTGTAATTTTTCAAGGCAGGATTTCTCTGTAGTTTTTGAGCCTGTACTGGAACTCGCTCCATAGACCAGGCTGGCCTGGAACTCACAGAGATCTTCCTGCCTCTGCCTCCTGAGTGTTGGGATTAAAGGTGTGCGCCACCAACACTCATAGTTTTTTTTTTTATGTATAGTAAGAAGTAGTGAGAAAACAGGAACAAGGTTTATTCTATTTGAAAAAAAGAACTTTCCTGTCTGTTTTTTGTTTGTTTGTTTTGAAGCAATATCTCACTAGATAGCCCTGGCTGTCCTGGAATTTGCTATATAAACCAGCAGAGATCTATCTGCTTCCCAAGTGCTGGGATTAAATCCACTTGCCACTGAACCCAGCTCTCTTATCAAACTTCACATATGAAATGTATTATTAAATGTCATTACCACATATGTTAGTTTTCTGGAACTTAATTACACCTCAAAGTTTGATATCTTGCAAAAAGCATTTTACAGCTCTGTGATCTGTTTGTTGCTTACTAGTTATGTTTTCCTTTACAAATGTTACCCACAAAGTGAGACACAACTGCCAGCACCATTTGTAGACATGATTGTGTTTTGTTTTTATAGGAGGGAGATACTGAAAGTGAGCCATATGATGATGAAGAATTTGAGGGTTATGAAGACAAACCAGATACCTCTTCTAGCAAAAATAAAGACCCAATAACAATCGTTGATGTAAGTATATAAGATTTTAAATTCCAAACTGAGCAGTAAATCATCAATACCATAACTGTAGTCCCTGACTTATGGTGGTTGGAATAGTAGTGTAATCTAATTAAAGAGCTTAACATGAATTCTTTGAGCATCCATTGCAATGAAGCACTCCTATGTTGTAGTCTAGCCCTACTTTTACTTAATTCAAGTAACGTAAGTGGACGGCATTGGGCATACTCTGGAAAGTGACCCTGACCCAGAGTCGGGTGGTGGCGGCAGCACATGACTTTGGTCCCAGCATTCTAGAGGCACAGGCAGACAGATCTCTGAGTTCTCTGTTGTACAAATCAAGTTTCAGGACAGCTAGGGCTACAGAACCCTATCTGGAAAAAAACAAAACCAAAAAACACCAAAACATAATAAATAAAAAGCTGACCTAGAAGATCAAAATGGACATATTTTTTTTTAATATTTATTTATTTATTATGTATACCATATTCTGTCTATATGTATGCCTGCAGGCCAGAAGAGGGCACTAGACCTCATTACAGATGGTTGTGAGCCACCATGTGGTTGCTGGGAATTGAACTCAGGACCTTTGGAAGAGCAGGCAATGCTCTTAACCACTGAGCCATCTCTCCAGCCCTGGACATATTTTTTGAAGTGTAACTTCTTTGTTGTTTGTCTGCATGACTGTTAAGTGCATCTTGTGCATGTCTGTTGCCCTTAGAAGCCAGAGATAGCACCAGGTCCCCAAGCTATCATATGGGTGCTGGGAACTGAACCTGTGTCATCTGCAAGAGTGGCCAGTGCTCCTAACCATTGAATCTTCTCTCTAGCCTCTAATGCGTAACTATTTTCCAGTGACAGTAATTTAAAGTATCCACTTCTGTCTATGAGCTTTCTTGTTTTGGTTTGTTTTTTTCTTTTTTTTTTTTTTTTT